TCTTACCCCAGTCAGACTGGCTAAGATCAAGAGAACAAATGATACCAAATGTTGGAGAGGAGGTGGGGAAATGGAACGCTCATCCACTGCTGGTGGGACTGCAAACTTGGAAAGCAGTGTGGAGAACTCTTAAAAAACTACAAATGAACCTACCATTTGACCCAGTTATACCACTCCTTGGCATCGTATTGCAGAGACACTTATACATCCATGTTTGTTGCTGCTCTTTTCACAATAGCTAAGAGATGGAAGTAACCTAAGTGTCCCTTAACTGACGAGTGGATACTGACAATGTGGTTCATTTACATGATGGAGTTTTAATCAGCTGTAAAGAAAGACAAAATCATGAAACTTGCAGGTAAATGGATGGAACTAGAAACTGTTATGCTAAGTGAAGTAACATAGACTCAGAAAAAAAAAACATGTATGTTCTCTCTCATATGTGGATCCTAGCTAGCACCAAATCCTTACAAGTGAGTATATATCCAGACATAACTACAGGAACCAGGATAATGAAAAGGAACCAGGGTAGTAAAGGAAAAGAAAGATTCTGAAAGAGAACAGTAGGAACCAGATGTTAGTAAGAGAGATATGGATAAAAATAGGGGGAGGGAGGAGGGAGGATTATACAAGGAACCTTGGGGATAAAGGGAAAGAAGAAACTCAAGAGATGTGGGACCACAGGAGAAGGGTATTTTTAAGGGAGAAATGGGAAAAATGTGGGCACTTTAAATGGGGAAACCATGGTGGAAGTGTTAAGACATTGTGAGAGATAAGTAATGCCTAATTTTAGAAAAAAGAGGGAACCATACTAATCAAATAACCTACTGACAAAGTATACATGCAACTAGCTCAAGGAATATATGTCTAGGCAAGGTTTATCTGAGAACGTTTGGTCTTTGCCCAAGCTTTATCTACATAGCGCATGGTAATTAAAAGTACCAGACTGGTGGAACTAACCTTCTTGGACATTTAACATAACAGCCATACTTTGAGGCCTATATTGATTTGGTCAGAGGGACTTAAAGGACAGTTTTTCTCTTTGCCCTCCTAGGTCAAATAAGCTCCAGGGGACTATGAGCATCTTTCAAAATGTCCTGTAACTGTGGTGAGTCATCTGTCCTCTTGATCAAGGAGGCCATGGAGACCCTACCAAATGGTCTTGAACCAGTGTCCAGTCTGCAATTAGGAGGGTGAACACAGAGGAAACATTTCCTCCAGGCTTCCAAGTGAAGCCAGCCAAGGTCCAGCAGGACTTTTGACTTATCTTCACATAGATGGAACTGGTAAAAGAAAGGAGCCAGGGGATCCTCCCAAGCCCATGTGACCCCCTTAGAAATAGATTCTCAAATGACCTTAAGAGTAAAAATAAATTGGTTTATCTGGGAGAACTGTATGGTCTTAAATACCTAAAAGGAAAGTAGAACCAAAGATTAAAAGGATCAATATAATTCTTTAAGAGTCCATGTATTTAGCTAAAGGCTACATAACAAGAAACAATGTCAGACAGGAGATACCTTCCTTTGAGTTGTCAGCCAGGTTGGCCCAAGAGACTCCAAGACAGTAACCCAGCATAGAAATGGGAAAATGAACAGCAGACCCCAATCTTATCTAAAAGAATATTGGGTACTGATTGCTGCTAGATGAGGAAGAGCTGATCCTCCTAAAACAAGGAACTCTAGATACACTGACTAGATTCAGCAGATGGACAAGCACTGGAGAATGGCTGGGGTTGCCAACAGCAACAGGGATGACAGAGCACATAGGCTCCAGTGAGGGGTGGGGAAGACTATGGGAGGATGCCATTTGGGATATGGGTATATAAATGAGTAAGATTGTTTGGGATGTTCTGTATGAAAGACACACAAAAAAATCAACAAATTTTAAGCAAGGAGTTATAGCTGAGAAAGAAGCATAAAAATTTGCTTCATGTTAATTAGTAGAGGTGAAACACATTACCATTGAAATCTACCTGATGACTTTATATCCATTCTCAGGTGCCAAGGAGGTGCCAAGGATCGGAGTGTAATCAACTGTGACTAGTAATAATCAGATACATAGAGATTAGGGATGCATGTGAAAACATCTAAGTGTTAGTAGCATTAAAAATGAGTTTTTCTTTTTTTTCTGTATGAAGCAGTATATTTTAAAATGAAATGAAGATCTTTTTTTAAAGTTTAAAACCTCATTCAATTTTATGTCTTATAGGGTTTATACTGAGTTCAATATTATATAACTGTATTAATTCAACTGTGAACCTAAAAATTTACAGCCAATTTTGAAAGCAATGCATCTTTGCTATGGAAATTGTTATTGAATATGTTAATGCTGTAATGAAATGCTTATTTTAATCATGTTCTTATTAAATAAGTAATTTAAAAAATAATGACTGGCATTAAAAAGAAAAGAAAAACTTTGAGTAAACTTCTGAAAATGATGCACAGCAACGGTCATATATTGTAAAAATGTCACAGTTAGTTTAGAAAACAATCTGAAGGTTGTTAATATAGTTAAGCATATGCATAACTATTCAAAGTCAGAAATTCCATTCTGAGAAATTTACCCAAGAGAAGTAAAACTTATATACAAAGGTGTGTTTAGGACTTATTTAACTACTTTAATAATAATCAACAAAACCTACAAGTCTACTGATGAGAGGTTATATAAATCATAGAATGCCCATACAGTATAATACGTCTTAGCTATATTAAGGAATATAAAATATTAGTATAAGCAAGAATGTTGATCAATATATATTATTTATCTATCTATAGTGAAATATCTAGATGCAAAGGCTACTTTATGATTCCACAGGCATAGTATCCTGGAAGAAAAGCATGTAGGGATAGAAGCCACATTGCTAATGGTCAGGAACTGGAAGGGGGAGGAGAAAACAGTCCGGAATCAATGAAACATTTTGGAGTTAAGAAAATATTCTATAGTTCAACAGTGTTTTTTCATGACTAGTTTGTAAAACCTCATCAGGTTGTACACTGCAGAACAAAATAAACTTAATTCTTTGCAAATCGTGCCTCAATAGACCCAATTCTTAAAAAAAAAAAAAAGAAAAAAAGGCATCAATCAGAATACTACCTACATATCTATGTAAGACATGTATATTTTACTCTGAGAGTAATGGGAATAATATAGAGATTTTGAATTTTACTTTGGGTCAATGAGTGCCAAAAAAGGTTGTAGCTACCAAAGTTACAAGTAAAATATCCTCATAATTTCAGAAACAAATTATTTTATTAACTTTAAATTTTTAAAGTGTTGGGGAAGCACTTCAACATCACTTCTGGTATAATTATATAGCTCTTCCTGTATGTCCATGTCTTCAATGAATATCTTTTTCATTGAGTTAGCACAAGATAGATGTCAAGATGCTTGACAATTTTAGTAATCTATAGTTTATGAAATTAATCCTCTTTTTTAATTACTCAGAGGTTCCCCTATGCCAGTCAAATACATGGATAGAAGAAAAGGGAGATGTAAAGAAGAAGGAAGGAGGAAAACATAGTGGTCAATTTCTCCATTTTAAGATGAAGGTTTGTTAACAATATGCCTCCAGTGAAAAGCAGAAGCCTAATAAAAGAAGAGACAGGTCAGCTACAGAGGAAATACCAGGATTTTAGTGTACTAGGTCCATAAAAGAGCAGGAATTGTCAAGTGAAAATGCTCCCAAAGATCATTAGGTGGCTATGCTCTTTGCAAAGTAATCCTAGATATTTAATGGATACACAAAATATTCAGTGACTTTGAAGACAGAAGTACCGACAAATAAGAAACTGTGTAGAAAAAGGCAAGCCATAGGGACTCATTACCAGGGAGAAAGAGACTTCATAATCTTTAGCCGAATGTGTTCGCTATGATATAAAAACTTTTTAGAAAGAAAAACAAAAAAACAGCCACCAAAAATAACCAGTAACCTAGAGGTCTCAAGGAGATAAATGTGCTGTACATTGGGTTCTCTATTTCCTTGGTATTATTAAAGTATATAGAATGAAAACAGATAAAAACTATTGCAGGTTAATGCTCAGGATTGTATAATGCATTTGAAAGGAATAAAATCAAAGAAATTTAGATGAGGAGTCACCGTGATGATAAATTTAGATGAGGCTCCACTGTGCTATCATCAAAATGCATACACAAAGTTCTGCTATAGGCTCTCACTGTTCAAGTGAAGTTATTAAGCTGCAGTGTTCTTCACTGAGGTAACACACACAAAGCCCTATCTAGGCTCTACCATTGGAAATTTAAAGGAAGAAAGAATACTCTTCCAAGCCTTTTCCATCCTCTGAGCCATCCAAGAGAATTGATCCAGGCATGATAAAAATGATTCCTGTAAGTCTCTGATTAATGGTACTCAATGTACTATTTTTTAGTGAGACACAGAGAGACAGTTAGAGATCAAATACTTAAATGTTTCTCAGACAAGCATTATGACAAGGTTTTTATGTGCACCAAAGTCTTCAGAGAGAATGCATACAGCCATGGGTTTTGGAAGTTAGTTTTAACTGTATTAGCAGACTGAATGGGCGACGTGTAGTAACAGATATCAAAATACAATAGAAGGTTAAAAATGTTTTGAGTATTAGTAGCAGTCTGAATTAGGTAGATACTGTCAGGAAAGAAGGGAATATGAGGAAGTTCACTATGAACCACAGAAGATCTAAATATATAAATGATTCATTAGTAACATCCAGATAAAGGCTAGGAATTTATCTGAAGTTTCAATCATGATTTAAAAAGTCCTTAGGGCACACTGGTTTATGTTTGACTACTTGGCATAACCAGAAGAGCAGAGTTTAGAGGCTTCTGTTGCTTTAGGGCTCATACACCATTCTCTCCTGCAGCTGACTCTTAAGCTTCTGAAAATGTAGGAATGGGTTTAAGGGGGTGAGGAGGTATCTTAGTCAGTAATGTGCTTCTGACATCAGCATGAAGATCTGAGTGTGATCCCCAGCAAACATGTAAAAGCCAGGTACAATGGCACTTACTTGTAATCCCAGCTCTGGAGAGTCAGACAGGAGGATCCCTGGGGCTTGATGGCCAGCCAGTCTAGCCCAATCAAAGGAACTCCAGATTCAGCAGGACACCTTTTCTAAAAAAAAATAAAAAGTGGAGAGTGATTGAGGAAGACATCAGATGTAGACCCCTGGTCTCCATACATATAAGCGCACATAAGGCTATGCTCCCCCTCTCCCTTGAATACATACACAACCAGATAAAAGAAAAAAAAGCTCAAATAAATACATTTATTTGGGGACACTAGGAGATATGTTTTTAAAGAAATCATAAAGAGGGGCTGGATATATGGCTCAGTGCTTTAGAGCACTTGCTAATTTTTCAGAGGACCCGAGTTCTGAGTTTGGTGCTCAGCACCACATGTAATTCCAGTACCAGGGGTTTGGAATCCTCTTCTGGCCTCTGTGGGCATGTGCACACATGTGGCATACATGCACAGACATACACATAAATAGTTTTTTTTTTTTCAGTAAAAAAGAAGACCGGGCACAGAGGCACATTCTTTTAATCCCAGCACTCCAGAAGAAGAGGCAGCCAGATCTCTACAAGATCAAGGACAGACTGGTCTCCATAACAAGTTCCAGGACAGGTTCAGTACAAGAGACCCTGTCTCAAAAGCCAAACAAAACAAAATATGAGAAAAATGCCTGGCATCAGACCAAGACATAGACTATGGTTGGGGAAATTATTTAAAGTATTTTAAAAAGTGGTACTTTTAAAAGTATCTTTTTAAAATTATTTCATGTGTATGAGTTTGCTGCCTGCATGTGTGTAAGTGCACCCATGCCGTGCAATGCTGCAGGGGTCAGAAGAGGGCATGAGATTCCCCTGGAACCGGAGTTAAGGATGGTTGTTAGCTGCCATGTGGGTGCTGGGAATTGAATCTGGGTCCTCTGCAAGAGCAGTCAGTGCTCTTAACCTTTGTGCCATCTGCCCAACCCCCAAAGTGGTACTTTTATAATGCACCAATACATGGCACTTGGGATAGTCACTGTGTAACAGGGATGAGCATATGACCCAGCGATGAATAAAAGATGGGAAAGTAAATCTGGGAGTACATGAGGGAGACTATTTATTTTGCTACGCTGGGACCTTTCCAAGTTTACTCTAGGGACTCCTCTTTTAACTTCTCTCAGTTGCCAATGTTGTGATACCTACCTACCCATGACAGCCAGATGGATCTTGGGGTCTGCGCTTCCCATACTGGACCAGATACTATTAACAACCTCGTTGAAATAATGACCTTAACAGTCAGAGATCTGGTATGACTAACTGTCAGGATTTTTACAAAGGTTTCTTGAGAATTAGTTGGCTTGAACATGGTCATCTTCTTTAAGTAGCTATCATCATGAAAATGTGTCTAATTTCATTATAGGGCTTTAACATATACATGCTCCTCAAATTATAATGGGGTTATATCTGAGTAAATGCATCATAACTTGAAAATACCACAGTTAAAATGCATGTTGAAGTGTTCTGTAGACACACTGGGATAAACACACATACACATACCCACACAAAAATCCAGAAAACACTAGTATAAATGTGTATGGTGGTTAATGCCTGTAATCCCAACACTAAGGAGGCGGAGCTAGGAAGAAAGCTGCAAGTTCAAGGCCAGTCTGGTGTACAAAGCCAGTACTGGGCAGCTTGAGCTGTGGAATGAGACTTGACTCAAAATAAACAACAACACAAAACAATAAACATACATAATTCTGCCACAGTGAAGTACACCACACTGTTTGCTTGTTTCCACTCATACCCACATGACTCACTGGGAGCTATGGATCACTACTGCTGCTACCCAGCATTGAGATAGTAAATATTACTACACACTTTAAGTTTGGGCAAAGACCTAAAGTCAAAATTCAAAGCAGGGCTTCTACTAGCACACAATGATTTTGCACCATAATGAAGTTGAAAATCGTAAATCAGATCACTGCAACTTGGAGACCTTCTGTACTTAATTCTTTCCCAACCTTACACTGTGTTTTTTGACTTGAAATGTTATGGGTGCCAAATCAGAAATGAAATAAATTACACTTCATATTTTTTGCTTCATATGTTTTTAACATAAAATGTTTTCTGAAATGGGAAGACTCTTACCCTCTGTCACGTGATCAGCAATGTGATCCAGCTGTTTTGATTCTCACTCCAGGAGCTTTCCCAATGGGGCCTTCATCCTGCTGGGCACTTCTGTGCTTGCCCTGATTTTCTGGTGATCAAATGGTATCACAGGTACACTGTCCACATCACTGGCAAATCTAATATTAATCTAGGCTGTACAAACAGGAGACATTGAATTGAACCATTAAAATGGAAAAAAGAGTATAGAATTTCCATACCAAAACTTTAGTAGCCACGCCATTCTGGTTATACAGACATGGTAAAATACCATTGCCGATATATATATATATATATATATGTTGATTTTCCCTCATTAATTTATGGTTTGAAATGCTCTTTGGGAAAAAGTTACATCATTTGGTTCACATTAAAATCATCTCACTCTGGAAAATTACAAGGGACTAGACTATATGCAACTCCATTTAACATGTTTTCAATCCTCACAATCAGCCTTGGGTGGGAAATTTGCCTTAAACACACAAACATTTTTAATTGAATTTCAATCATAATACTACATACTGTTTTACAGTTTCTAATATAAAATACGTTTCATTGCTTTGTTTGCTCACTTCATAAAAATACTTGGCTGGAGAAATCTTACGTTATCTGGCAAGCGCCATCTTGTGACCAGAAGCAGAACTGCCACTACCATGCCCTTGGAGAAGGGTGAGAACTACATCTTGCCAGTCAGTAGCTTTCTCTGGCTTCCAGAATATACCAGGCTCAAATTCAGAGCTTAGTTAAACATGAAACAAAATATGAAATTAAGTGTCTTCACCTTCAAAGGTCTGGACTTTAAAATAAAATCATGGCTACTGAAAACTTAAAATATGATAAAGATATAAAAATAGTTGCTTTATTATAATTTTGGAAAGGTAACTACTAATAATTACCTGTATGTCCTTACATAATTTTGACATAGACACATGAATACCTGCAATTCCAAACCAGCTTTTTACCGTCTTCCAGTTCATAATTTAAATAGTTTTTTCATATTAATAAGCATTGCCAATGTGAGTTTTTGTTTCTGGTTCTTTCAAACAGGGACTTGCTCTGCAACTCAGGCTGGCCTGGAAATCACTATGGAGTCTCAGGCTACCTTTAAAGATCGAGGTAATCCTCCTGTCTCAGCCTCCTTAGCGGTGGGATTACAGTTGTAAGCCACTATGCCTGTCAAGGTGATTTTTTAATGCATCATTTCATACAGGAATGAGCTGACATGCTGGATTTAAAATAATCTTTAATATATGTATTCATTTTTGTTAGAAATGAATTTAGAAATGAATTTTTGTTAGAAAAATGAATACATATATTAATTATTTTAAATCCAGCATGTTGGCTCATGCCTGTATTCTCCCATCACTCAAGAGGTTGGTACATAACAATTGACACAAAGCCAGCCTGAATTAGTTTCAGGGGAGCCTGGTCTATAGAGACCCTGTCTCAAAAACAACAACAAAAAGAGGTTATTTTAAACTAGAGATAATAAAAACTGCTCTATCTCCTCCTCCACAGAGATAATTCCATTGGTAGATTGACCTTTTTTTTTTCTGATTTAGTGACACACATTTTGTTGATCAGTTTTTTTCTCCTTAAATAACTTAAAATCCTGCTTGCCATTCTGAAACTTACTTTTTTCACCTACTTCGACTTTGCAGACATCTATCCAAATCACTACAAGTCCACACTTGTATTTTCCAGCCATATAACATTCAACAGTACCGAAGTATCAAGCCACATACTACTTTTTAAACTGCTTACAGAAGTAAACCGAATCCCCTCACTTTTAAACTGAGATGAAACAGAAAAAAATAATTGATCTTCCTAGCCACAGCCACCTACCTGTGGCCTGACTTTAGTCGTCACGCAGAACACATGCAGGGCTGTAGTTTACACAACAACTTGGCTACTCGCTTGACCAGGTCCAGGAAAAATTCCTGTCAGTAAAAGAAAAATGTTACAAGAGCATGTCTGTGTGCGTTTGCATGTCTGAAACAAAACGAGTATGCGGCTTCGGCATCATTTTGCTTTGCTAATTACGAAAATTATCAGGGAATAAAGCAATTCTAAAAATGCTGAAACCGGTTTTAAAAATAGATTAATGCCCCCCTCCCACGCACACACATACCCCACCAAGTATTCCCAAACACTCACAGACCATAGACACCAGGAGTCTAGTTTCCCGCCCCCGCCCCCCTTCAGGAAAACGCGCATATCTTTTTTTTTTTAAACAAGTGATATCACTTAAAAGCGTATCTGAATCCTTTTCCAGGCTCATGTACAGTTTTATGTCATTCATTTTATGTTTGCATTTTCTGCCAATTATTTTTGGTAGAGAACGCAAATGTTTAGAACAAAATCCGGTTTATAAAAAAAACAAAAAACAAAAACCTGTACCGAAGACAAAAATATGGAATGCCACTAAGAAAATGAGCACGAACGGCAGGCCTCGCCGAAGTCTTAATTTAGAAGCTGCAATCTGATCACCTCTTCCCATACTACGGACTTTCAAATTATCCGAGAATCCAAAATTCCAGCGGATTAATTCCAGCCGAGTTAGAACAAATCAATCAAAACCATATTGCATCCCTGACTCTCCCAAGCAATAATCTCTATTTTCTTTTTCCGTCTTCACACCAAAGAGAGAAGAAATTACCAGAAAATAGCGGGCTTTAAGACAGCCATTACCTCCGAGCTCCTAGTCAGCCGCCGCCGCCGCCGCGTGAAATGCAGCCCCTCCCCCAGGACCCGCCGCGCCACGCTTCCCACAAGCAGGCAGAAGCTCCACCCCTTCTGGTGCGGGGGCGTGGGCGGGGGCGGGGGCGCGCCGTTGCGAGGGACCAGAGCCACCAACTCAGATGGAGACTCATACTTCAAAATGTCCGTTTTAAAAATCACTCAAAAGCTGAATGGCAACACGTGTCCTTTTAGTTTTCAAAGCACCAGGGTGGATGATTCCCCCTCACACACCGAAATAAAAGAAAAAAATGTAGAAATGCTTTCGTCATGTATTAATGACCTAATTAAGAATATTTTATATGTTCCTTTGGCCTATGCTGTCATGTAATTTTTCCAACCCTTATTAAGGTCCAGCTGCTCAAAATTCATTTAAAAGATCTTCCAGGTCCCTGTTTGTGTGCCCAGTGAGTTAAGACCTTATTTGGGGGAGGACTAAATCTCTGTAAGGTAAATTTTCCTGACCCTGGGTTATACTTTCTCTTTTTATGCTTCTTATCTATTCTTAAGAAACTTTTACCTTTTTTCAAAGTCATTAAAATTATGAAACATCAATTAAAATTCTTTAAAGAAATATGTGTGAATATACAGAAATTGGGGGGTGTACTTCTAGCAAAAACACAATAAGCCAAAGTGGAAAACAGAACAAATTTGCTACAATCTTTCAATACAAAATTGTCTCTATTCTAAAGTAGCTCTTAGCTAAATGTGGTGGCTCACATCTGTAATTTCAGTCCTGGAGAAAGTGAGGCAGGAGGATTGCCAAGAGTTTGAAGGCAGCCTGAGCTGCAGACCTATCTCAAAAATAATCTACAACCCCTCTCCCCAACTAATATGCTGAGGGCAGTCCAAAGTAGTTCTTACATACTAATTTTTTTAAAAGGTAAAAATAAATGGGCAAAATACATATAGTTCATGATATTCTGAGATAATAATTCTTCCTTGTAAGCAAACTCATGCAGTACAAATCTAAAATCTCTAAACACCTACAGCTACAAGCCTCAAAGCTGTTAGGATATGTTTACTAAAATTTGGGTCTGCATTATAAAGCCCATTTGACTATCACAATTATCACTGTCCTGCAACTTTACCTTGTACTTAAGCTGACATCTCCCTTTGTGCAACTCCATTTTAATATCAATTTATTCAGTGGAGAAAGGAAAGTCATTTTTATTTGGACCATCTTAAATTCCAAATATTCAAAATGAAAATTAGAACTGACCAAAATATAAACGATACCCACATCCTCTAATAATCAAAGAGATGCGAAGGTAACCAGTACTGAGACTTCATTTTTTTTAAACCCAGTTTGACTAAAAAGCAGAGAAGAAATTATACAGTAAACAGCAAGACTGCAAGGAAATGGAAACTCAGTCTCTCATGCCACAAACCTGGGAAAGGAACAAGAAAAAGTTAAAGCCAAAGTTTGTCTGAAGCTAAGATACATGCCGTCTCCACTGCTGTACTCAGCGCCTCCTGGGCTTAGAATCCTGCCTCTCTGGTAGAATGCAGGATAATGCTATTTACTCTCAAATTGAGAGAAAATCAGTGACTCTTAACCTGAAAGTAGATGTGGTTCAATCTCCCAGCTCTGCTGTTGAACATACTGGCAAATTGCTATCATCTACAGTAACCACTCCACTTCACTGTGCACTCTCTCAATTTTTACATGTTTTGGTGCAATAAGCCTTTGCACTGACCAGACTCTACATAACATCCACTTGGCCTTAGAACAATTATGACAAGTCTTTTATTTGTATCCTACAGCTGGGGCTTGGCAATAAGTTCACTATCAGAAATGCCTGTAACTGTACAGACACCAATTATTATGATTTTATGCAGTGAAGTACCCATTTCACTCCATCTTATTAATGATTGATCCTTGCTCCTGTGGGTTGTTTATAACAGCCAATTCCATGTGGCTAAGCTTTTTTTAAAAACAAAATTACAAAACATCCAATAAATTAAGACTAAAGTTTACGTTTGTCTCTAATTTTTGAGGTGCTACTTCCTAGGAAGCCCTAAATCTTACAAACTGCCTAGGGATCAAGACTCTGAAGTTTGTCTCTTAAGATAATGTTATTTTGAGTTTAAAACAAAAAATTCTGAAGTTTGAAAACAACCCCATCCATTATCACAATGAACAGGAAAAATGTACCTCTTGCCACATTTTATCAATTCAGAGTAGAGAAATGGAACTGGACTGTTAACACAGTTCTTCATGTAATGAACAAGTGGAAAGAAAAAGGTGCTTGCATCGGAACTCTCAAGAATGAAGTGATCATTCTTCCATAGACCCTAAACAGAAGGTTCAGGCAGGGACAAAATGATTCTGTAATCACTCTGTAATGGGCATTCGGGATTCTTGGTGTGATGTGGGTCTCTATTGATAGGATCCAAAGTCAGAATTTACAAATTTTCATTGAAGGCATTACGGTTTTAATTTTTGAAGTTTTTATACAAACAAATAGGAAGCCAGACAGTCGTGAGTTTGAAACCTTTATTAGCTCTGCCGAAGGCATTTGAAATCTTCAAACCTGTCTAGGTTGCCACCTCCACATCCCAGACAGCACATTTAACAAAGATGCATGAGTCACAAGCACTTCTATCACTAACCTAAGTTGTTCAAATACCAAATATTAACTACATTTCATCTGGTAATAAGTTGTACATTCCTGCTGTGTTTTCAAAGAAGCCTTATGCTATGGACATAGAGATGCTAAATGGTTCTTAGTTTCTATTAGACTGTTTCATTCTCCCTAAAACTTCATAAGGTAGCTTAAATAAAAAATTTGCAATGAGTGATAACTTGGTTAGATTAAAACATAGCCCCAAACAAAAGGGATTCAATAAAATTTTACTTTGCTACGTGGAAAGGGGAATGAACATGAAAATGGAGACAAGGTACAAGTCAAGAAAACAAATACAATCAGACAGAGGGGGACAGAGACATGAAAGGAATGTATGGTTCAGAAGGAAAATAAAACCAGAGAAGTACTAAGATAATATAAACTGGATATCTTTATTTTTTTTCCTCTTGTCTTTTACAAGAATGTGTGTGGGAGGGTCCTTGGCATTGTCCATGACATTATTTGTGTTCCTGGATAATTGAAGCCTTTGGGGCCTCTCTGGGTTATCATGAGGAATGCTGGGTGTTTGAGATTTCTTAGTGGCTACTGATGTCTTGTTTGTGCATGGTAACTAAAGAAAATCTCATGGACACAGACAGTGGGCTCAACATCAACAGCCTGAATACACTTAGAAGTCAGAGATTTGTGATGTTTGCCAGAAAAGAGATGAATGCATTTAAGTCACTGCAAATACTATTCGAGAAAGCATACACATTTTGTTCGAAGATAACTGTGAGACATTTAAGCAGGACTTAAGAAGCCTTTGTAATTGTGAAATCTAGTATGTGGTGATGACAACCTAGAACAGTTCTCAAGGATTTAAAAGTAAGGCCATGGCCAGCTCTAAATAGCCACTAGCATGACCTCTTCTGTTTAAAACAAGAGATCCTTTCTCAAAACTATGACATTTAATTCTGTATATTAAGGTTTGAGAACAGGGAGCCAAATAAATTGTACCCCCAGTTCTCAACTGAACACAATTCTAATGCAAAAGCAGTTTAAATTTTAAAATAATACAGCTACAGATTAGGGAGCAAAGTAAATTATCCTTTGAGATCTCAAAATGTTTGTAAATGCGAAATGTTTCATGAAATGAGAAGACTCTTACCCTCCAGGCCATGGTGGTCTGGCCCTGTGATCCAGCTGCCTTGATTCTCACTCCAGGAGCTTTCCCAGAAGCGCCTTCACCCTGCTGTACTTGCACTGCCTTTCTGTGCTCAAGTGGTATCATATACAGATGGCCCAACAGCTCTGATATTAACCACTGCTCTGCAAAAGGAAGACAGGAAATTAAATCAATGAAATAGAAAAGGTGCAAAGAAGCGATCCTACCAAAATCCTAGTGGGCAGGCCAGGATTCACACACAGGGATGAGGTGAAATCTCATCCCTCGTATAGATATCATCTTCATTTTCCCTCTCACTTATACACAATTTAAAATGTACCAGATACACATGTATTTGGTACATGCTGAAATAATCTCCAGAAAATTCATAAAAATAACTGTCTGGGAAAAAATTTTAGGAAACCTGGCAGGCATCATCTTTTTCTTTCTTCCCTTCCTTCCTTCCTTCCTTCCTTCCTTCCTTCCTTCCTTCCTTTCTATCTTAAGATAGGGTCTCATGTAGCCCAGGCTGGCCTTGGACTTGTTTCTTTCTTTCTTTCTGAGCTGTGTGTGCTGTGTACAGCAAAATCAGGGAAGTGGAGATGCCAAAACCCTTTGGAGCCCAGAAGATCATGAATGAATCCCAGATATCCAACCTTGAGCTACTTTGTTGGACTTCGGTTTTGCTTAGGTGTGCCCAATTCTTCCCTTTTGAAATAAGACAATACTTGTTTTGGATTTTACAAGAGCCCACGGTTAAGACTTTTAAAAGAGATTATTGACTTTTTGGTGTTTAGATTTTTTTTAAGGACTGTGCGACTTTTAAGTTTGTACTCTTATGTCATGATATTAATATTATACCTTGGTGATAAGAAATGGAAAGCTTGTGGTTTAATAGTGATGTGTTTGTGTGTCAAGTTGAGAACCAGAGCTGCCAGCTGGGGAAAGGTGAGAGCTACAATCATGCAGAGAGTAGTTTTCTCAAGCTTCCAGAATTGTTCATACTCAGCTTAATACTGTGTGTGTGTGTGTGTGTGTGTGTGTGTGTGTGATAAAAAGGCCATAAAATCCTCATTTTAATGTTTGCATTATAGTTTATCTAATGTTTACTTTCTAGCTATTTTTTTAATTACCAAGCACAAAAGCAAGTCTTTACAATTGTGATCAAAACATAATAGTTTGTTTCATACTATATTATGCATAGTTATAAATGCAAATGTTTTTGAAATTAGACGGCTTACCCTTCAAAAATAAATTTGACA